TTTGAAGACAGTACTTTTGGTGCCAACCTGGTCATCAGAAAGTGTAAGCTCATTTTGAACTGTTGGAGAAGACCCTTATTATTATTATTATTATTTTTAATTTTAAAATTACAATCCTCTATTATTCACAGCTCACATCTTGGCCTCTGTACAATCTTTTGAGCACTATTTTGATTATTTTTTTGCAATAGAGATGCTGTGTGAAATGGGTTTTTGCTATAGCATTGAAATTTGATGACTTTGTACATTGAGAGTGGATGTTGATCATGTTTGTGATTATGAGATCACTTAACTTCAGATCATTTTCCATGACTTTGTTTCTTATAAATCAAAATTTAAAATGTAACAAAACTTTGGCTCCTTGATTGTGTGAGATACTTGACAAATTAATTAATTTTGTAAATGAATTTTAGTGATTTCAGAGAGAAAAATAATTTAAATATATACTCCTCAACTCTTATATTCTGAAAAGAAAAAAAAAAGAAAAAAGAAAACAAAATAAAAAAATCACAAGATTGTGGAAACAGGCAGCACTGGCATGATAGCTCTAGTGTTTCTTTAAAACTGAAATTTGATGTTTGAATAGACACATGCAATGACACATTCAAGTTGAATACAATAGTTCAGGTGCACTTGAAAATGACTTTGTCTCTACAAAATTATATACATATATATATATATATATATATAAATGTGTGTGTGTGTGTCAAGGTGTAAAGTACAAAATTATATATAAAATTATATATAGTGTGGATTGAAGACAATTCTAGGATACGCTTGGACGCTTCTGGAGAACGAGGGCCGAAAGAGCTACAGACCAGACACTGAGAGCGCCACGGTAACTGGAGCACTGGGGCCCTTTACCACGTGTCCGCCACGTCGGATTCACCGTTCCAGCTCAGCGTGTCGGTTTATCCTCTATTTTAATGACAGACAATCCCTCTCACATACCTAAATATATGTATGAATAATGTTTATTATTCTTCTTTCTTTTTTCTTTTTATTTTTACATACGTCATCCAATGCATTTTTTGAAGAACGTCAAGAACATATTTTATGAATGAAGGAGTGTCATGTTATTTAATTGCAAAGGTAAATAATCATAATTTTGATTTTGAATTTTTATTTCAACTATGAAAGAATTCTGAAAGCTGTTTTGCTACTTCAAAAGTATTTGAAAGACCATCATGGAAGCTATGTTTTTTTTTGTGAAGAAGACTTTGAAAATATTTGGTAAATACAAATATAACAACATTAATATCTACATGCTGACCATGACACGATATATTTTATATTAAATTAAAAGTCAATGTTGTTCTTGTTATTATTATTATTGTATATGTGTGTGAATGTGAGTGTGTTATAAACCATGAAACTCATATAAATGCAAGTTTAACTTCAGTTGTTGTTTACCATGATTCATGTAACTAATCTGTGAAGTAATTCCATACAATTCCATCCTTTGTGCTTTGTCAAGGTATAAAGTACAAAATGATGCTTTTCTTGACAATTGTTAAAAATTAATGGTGCAAGTTGAGGACAAAGTTGCTCATTTTTGTTATTAAATACAATCACAATTAAACATATCTACATACAATAATGGCATTGAAGTGTAGGTTTGAATTCTCATGCATTTGAGATAGTAGTGGAGGTTTGTACTACTCTATGCCAAAAAAAGAACTGCATGAGAAGATGATTCATCAAAATATACTGATCCAATTACATTGATGTGAGATTTAGATGAGTTGGACTATTATCAACACATTGAACAAAAACTTAGTTTTGTATTAAAAAAAACAAAAAAAACAAAAAATAAACAATCATGTACAACAGTTTAAATTCTGATCTTTTTAATAACAATTAAAAGGTAATATAACCCCTCCAAAAAAAACTTAAAACAATAAAATAAAACTACAACTAAAATTAGTTTTACTCAATATAATACAAAAGCAATAAAATCACATCTTCTAAAATGTAGTCAACAACATTTCACATCAAAAAACATGAAATCCAAACTAACTACAATTTTATTATTATTTTTATTACACATGTCAAGTTGTATTATTCCTGCCAGAGTGACTTTGAATTACTTCAGACTTTTCACAAAATCTGACCTCAAAAAGGTGCATGGGCATGCACTGCAAATTTGGGTCACAATTCAGATAAATAAAAGAATGATGAAGGGTGCAGTTTAGTGTGATGGAAGTGCATGGTTTTGCTCAAGTCTACAACTCAGTTTAGAGCTGCATTGGAAAATCTGCTTTGAACATTTTTATCAATTCAACTATCATGGCAATTCAATTTTTCTTCTTCTGGAGCACATTAGAACCTTATTTCTCCATCCAACACAATTTTTTCCCAAAATTCAACCCCCCGGAGATAGCTGAAAAACCTTAAGTTGTCAGTTTAAGGTGTTTGGATGTTAATGTACTATATTTTGAGTACTAGAATCACAGCAGCCATCCCAAGCAAGCTACCAAAAGATTGAACAAAACAGGACCATTTTCAGAAGAATGTGTGTGTGTGTGTATATATATATATACATGTATGCGCTTTTTGAAACATAAGGGGACAGACCCCCTTTGCTGATTAATGGATCAGAGGAATATTTATGTGTGGGAGAAGTCGTCACCCTTAAGTCAAAATATTGTTCAACTTTCTTATCAAATGAATATGTGTTGACTTAAAAGCTATGCTTTTTTCCAAACCCATATGAGCAATCTTTCTAAACATGGATGTTGGTTACATGGACCCAAAAAAACAGAGGATGTAGATATGGTGTCAGTGCATTGTTTATTTTCTTCCCTACATTGTTTTGAAAGTAAAAAAGTATATCAATGAAAAAGGAGATAAACATATTACTGTAAAGCAATGAGTGGTAAATGTGGACAAATTTTCGTCATTGAACTTTGTCAATGCAATCAAGGATTTCCAAGTATAGTGATCACAATTAGGAGACAGGACACACATTAGCCTATGATGGGAAGGGGGTGGAATCATCTATTTTCCTCAGTGATTTAATTGTCTCATCAGATTCTCAGTGGATAATGCTCCCTCTGTATATATAACCTTAATTAGACCATCTTTGGTGTGTTTTCAAGTGGGCTTGATACCGAACACCCATTTGCCTCCACTGGTGGCTCTGTAGGCGGTTTATCCTCTTTGAAGCATTATTTGACACTTCAGCTCACAAAAAATGGAAAATAACTTCTTCCCGCTTTCTTGTTTCTGAATTATTTCTCAAAACGTAGAGTAACATAAATAAAGAAATTAAAGTGGACAGCGCAGGATTTCGGACAGTGCCCAATGCAAAGACTATGATATCTGAAACCCGGGATTTCCTGATCAGACACAAAGACGATGGAATGCTGTCAAAGTCTCTCACTTCATCTACTTCTGCTTCTGCTTCCTTTTCATTTAATACCGAAGGTGTAGGTCCATCACTTATATGCTCCACTATGTTAAAGTGGATGTGATACTACCCACTAATTGAATGAACCAGATATGAAACAGTATCGACAGATATCACTTGGGATAATTCGGCCTTTGATCGTCCCCCTATTCACAAACAAAGTTACGGTGGATGGGATCGTTTTTATACTGTGGTAATGCAAGGGGAAGTCAACTCGCCCCCTAAAGTGAAGTGATTAAGCAGCCTGCTTCGGGTCATTAACAGCAGATGATTGAACACCTCCACTATTGAATGTCGAAGTGAGGGAATGGAAGTCGCCCGGTAGGGCCAGTTGCTGTTAAGGTGGCAGATGGGAGAAAATAAAAATCAAACATAGAAAAGAAAAACACCGGCATTCATTGTTTCTCCCTTTGGGCAGAGTGCTCATGATTTCGAATAGTAAACGCAAATCATGAGCACTATCCATGTTAAATTCCCATGCTCTCGAGTTTGGTGATCTGTCGAAGGTCAGTCACCGGTTCCAGGGAACAGTAGGAGCTGATTAACTCTCGTGTGGTGGATGATTAATGGTAAACAAGAGTTGAAGATGGTTAAGTCAGGTTTGTTTATGTGTCGAGTTCGGTGAACTAGTAGACGTGGTCGAATATCTGACAATAAAAAAAAAAGGGTCATTGCACACGAGCGGTGTTACTGCTGAATAGATTTCCATTTCCGCCGCAAAGAAGCGCAGAGCTGAATGAGCGTTAGGGGGGTGGAGGGGGAGGGGGGGACGATTCAGTTTTGCTTCCAATTCGGCTGTCTCAATTTTTGGTTCAAATAGGGGGCTGCACCTTTCTCATCTCACCGACCCCATGGGCAGTGGGGAGAGCAATTAAAGTGAAAGGTTGGCCCCGCTGCTGCAAAGTCGGACGATTTTGTTTGTCACGAAGGTCGCCGAGCGTGCTATCCTTCGGTTATGTTGGATCATCCAATCGACGATCGCTTTACTGTTGCACTTCAATCATCACTGGCCGCTAAGCCTCCACAAGTCCTGTTGCTTCTGCGAGGTTGGATGGTTGCGGGAAAAAAGTGAAATGGGAAGCAGCATTAAATGGGGGAAACAATCATGTTGTGCGATCTTGAATTTATGGCGGTGAGGTAGTGGAGCAGTTTACGAAGTAAGTCACGGTGATGGCTGGATTCTAGAAAGCAGTGGATCGGAAGGTTGGATGGAACTCTTCAGTATCGACGGATGGCGGTAACTGCTTCGACTGGGTATGTCCTGTTGCTCTAGCAGAGTCCTGAGGCACAGAAAAATTCGAATCCAAATTAATAGTTCATAGTCGGGTACAACTGTGGACCTCTCCGTGGTCGACGTCTGGGAGCGGAATATGACTATGATACCGTATATGTATTGAATGAAGTTTCCTTTCCCAGGATTTCTGCCGTCAGGCTAGAGCGTGGTCAAACCAGCTGGGCGAGCTGGCGAGTGAATGCCGAATACTCGACCAGTAGGCACTTTTGTGAGTTTCGTCATTTTGGACACAGATTTAAGTACTAGTGTACGTGTACCATATTCTTGTACAGTTTATTTACCTCGGAGATTATGTATCACTTTATGAGGGTGATGGAGTGCTTGCAGGGGTATGGGGACGCCTTTGACGTTCGGAAAGCCTTGGCAGGAAGTACCGAAAATGGGTCATCACACCCAGTAATTAAAAGAGGTTGAATGGATTGATAGCATTTATCACTGAACTCAGCACTGGCAAGATTGCAATGTAGTGCGGTCATTGCGGGAGAGAGTTGAAGAGGGTGGAGTTAAAAGATCTCAATCAATCATGCTGCTGTAACTATTTTTAGGAGAGGTTAAGAGTGTACACAGTTACGGGGGTGGAATGACTAGATCTCGGAAGCTCAATTTGTGATTTGTCTGATAGGAAGAGAGAGTGAGAGAGTGATTGAGATTTCAAGGAGGTGGTTGGAGCCGAGTAAGAAGTGGTTCTGGAGTGTGATATTCTAACCAGCTCCTTACTGAGCAAGCGACTTATCCCTGACACCATCACCATTTTCTTTCGAGTGGCTTTTATCGCCTTCTTGCTGCGGATGCGTTGGAACTTTCTATTTCTTGCCGCGTTCTAACATTGGTCTCCCACATTCCGCCTTTGTGCACTCTCCTGGCTCAGCAGGTATCTTTCACTCGTCTATGTCGTCTACCTTTTGCCTCTTTTCTGCAACCTTGTTGCTTCGAACAGGAGGACATCGCTCTTATTGGGGTACATTTTAGCATAGTTTTGTTCTGATGCTGTGCAATTCACATTGTCTGCACCTTCTATCCAGTGCTTTTTGCAACGTCTACCTCCTCATACTTCAGGATCTACTTGGGTGAAGTTAGTACCGGCAGTTTGAATAGTTGGGCCTTGACGTTTATGGATAGATGTGAGAACACAATAGTTGGAAGATTAGACTCTGAGCTGAGGGTTGGGTTTTTGAATCGTTTGCGAGTTTAGATGTAGTCGCGGTGCGCCCTGGGCATTTCCTCCAGGTTATGATTTCACTTCAACCTAGCACCGAGAAGAGTGTTACTCATTTAGACAAGGGTGGCTGCACAGTGTGCTTGTTTTTACTACCGCGGCGTGTTATCTTGATTCTCTTGCGAATCAAGACGGGGGCCTTTAAGTATCAGCGTGCGAAAGTAACCTGTAGAATATGCGCTCGGCAATTGTTCACTATTTGCTGACTACTCTCCCTTTCCCTATCCCTCACGCACAGCACCCGATGGTTGGCCATAGGAGACAAATTCTTGAAACAAGAATGAGCCCTCGCTCTTAGATATATGGTTGCAGCTGCTGTGACCAGCTCTTCCAAGCGACTTCGATCACACATGCTGGCTTAGGTGGATCTTCGGAGCTAGATTTTGCAGCCTATTAACCCTGAATGGCCTTAAGCGCAAGCAGCATCGGGTTGAATTACCCATGAGCTCTCTTTCCTCGCTGCACTTCACAGGTCTTCTGAACATTCGCCTGTTTCAAAAAAACTAAGTGTCTACGCTGACATCCTATAAGTTTGCGAAGGTTTTGGGCCACACAGTGAAAGTCGCACAATGTGCGTTTTATAATTGGGAATGGGGCTTCATTAGTCGTTTCCGAACCAAGCTTTGAAGATCATAAGGCTTGAGAGATGGCTCCTTCAGTAATGGATTCTAGATTTTACCTGAGAATGGCTAGTTTCAACTTCAGTCTGGATCCTCTTCAGCGCTTCACGTTTAACACCCTTTCTCCACGTAAGGTCGATATCTCCGAGCCAATGCTAGAGTCACGGTAATCATCTGCTTCAACTTAAACACCTTCGTCGCCCCTAATTGCTACATCACTCTGATCTGAACACCGGAAGTCTGGTCTTGAATCTCTGGTGCACATGTTGCTGAACCAGGCACTTTCTTAGACCTTCCCACTTAGTTTCTAATGAAGTGAAGGTTTGTTATTGAACAGGGTGATTGACACGTTTGAGATGGCTTCTCCAAGCTACTTGGAAGTGGAAGTCAATGGAGAGAGGACATTTGTACTTGATAAGGTGAGCAGAGGATTCTACCCCTTGTACCTTCAGCAGGGAATCCGGTAACAGCATGTGGCTGACAAGAGTGGAATGTAATATGTGCTTCGCGCAATTTGTAATCTCGTTAGACTGCAATAGTTTACGTACTATTGTTCTAGATTTCTGGTATGTTTCCTCACCCACCTGCTGTAAGATTTGATGCTATTATCTCGCCACATTTGTTTGCAGACACCGCTGATTGAGCACTGCGAGCATTTTAGGAAGTTCGCAGAGGAGACGATTGAAGTTGACGTATATCCGTTGTCGCCGCCTAGGTCCAATCGCAAGCAACTTACACTTAAAATTGATGACTTGCCTGGGGGAGCTGATGCGTTTGAACTGGTGGCTAAGTTTTGTTACGACGATGCAAGCTTTAGTATCACCTCCACCAATGTTGCCATGCTGCGGTGCGCTGCTGAGTACTTGGGTATGACCGAGGCCATGTCGAAGGGTAACTTGATCCGAAAGACTGAAGAATATCTTAGGACAATGGTGTTCTGGAGCTGGGAGGAGTCGCTTACGGTTCTTCGGGCATGTGAGGAATTCAACCAAGCTGCAGAGAAGGCACACATTATCCAGCGATGTGCGAGTGCGCTGTCCGACAAAACCTCGCCATCGGCTTCTTTCGCCGTCGATCTCTCTAATAGTCCTCTACATCCAGCTACTGATGCCTACTTGGCTTCTTACTTCGTGTCAACTCCTAGCGGCAACAGCTCTCACAGGTCTTCCAAGGCCTTGTGCGAAACTTGGTGGTTTGACGATCTTTCCACACTCTCTGTGCACCTCATGGAACCTGTCGTGCGATACATGATCATTCACAGGGCAGCGGATAGCCGGGTGATAGCCAAATTTCTCCTTCATTACCTCCGATCTGCGTTACCAGTGCTTGGTTACAGCGCTGCATCCTTGTCCCCCATGAAGCTTCATGACGAGGGCGACGACGATAACTCTTTCAATCAAGTTGAAAGGATCCAACGTGAGGTAGTCGAAGTTGTTGTGAATCTGCTGGCAAATCTCGACAGGAAATCTGTATCTTGCAGGTCTTTGCTTGGTCTCCGGAGAATAGCTGTTGCTCTTAGAGCAGGAAAGCATTGCAGGAGAGACCTTGAGCGCATGATCGGCAGGCAGTTGGAAAAGGCAACTCTTGATAACATTTTGATTCCTGCCCTTCCTCCACGCAGTTCCTCGTTGTATGACGTTGATCTAGTTCTTCGCCTAGTCGAGTTTTTTCTCAAGGAGAAGGCTGAAGCTTTGCTGCTCACCTCGAAGTTCAACAGATCTGAGAGTAGCGAATCTTTGTATTCGGCGAGATCAGACAGCAAGTTCTCTTCGTTGTCGAGGACAAACAGTAGGACATCAGTGCCGGGAATCGCTATGAGTCCAGAGATTAGCACGCCGGTGCAAGTGTCGTTGCTTAAAGTTGGAGAGCTGATGGACAAGTACTTGGCTGAGATTGCAGCGGACACCTACTTGAAGCCGTCAAAGTTCCTTGCGCTTGCCGAGTCACTACCGGACTACGCTCGGCAGTCCGATGATGGACTCTACAGAGCAGTTGACATTTACCTCGAAGTATGTGCACTGATGTCCTTTGTTGATCTCGTTTGTTGTGTGAATCACAACCAACTCAAGATCCTTTCTATGTAACAGTGTAGAGTAGGGTGTATGCTAGTCGCTCATTATGAATGCTGAAAGTTTACATAATTCTCGTGCAGGCACATCCATTTGTAAGCGAGACGGATGCCACAAGGCTCTTTAAGGTGCTGAACTATCACAAACTTGGCCCCGAGACGTCCAAGGCCGCGTCTCAGAATCCAAGATTTCCTGCAAGTTTTGCGATTCAGGTGGCTCTCGTTCAGCACAACCAGCTCAAGTCAACGAGTGAAGGCTCGTTCCGCAGTGACAGATCCAGTTCCCCGTTCAAGAATGCTTCATCAAGAGCCGGCCAGCAAACAGTAGTCCACCTTCAGTGCTCTTCATTTGAGTTTACCCTTCGACAGGAGAAGAAGAAAAATGTCAAGAAAGTGCAGGCATTAAGGCCTGAGATTCATAACTCTTGCAAGCGCTCACGAGTGGACATGTCCAGCGGACTTCAACGACTAATGCAGCTGTTTCACTCCAAGTCAAGGCAACATTAGGATCCTGCTGCGTGCAGGTTTTTTTTTCCCACTTCGGAGTACAACTCTGTAAACAAACATCCCGCATTTTGTATATACTGAAAGAGCAAGATCATGTAACCTAATCTTCGGCATGGCTAGTCAAATTCGACGTATTGGTGGTCTGCACCGTGAGGCTTCGTATGGAAAAGCTCATTCTATGATCCCAGCCCAGCAGAAACGCGACTTTCTTTGCTGTTGCGGGTTCCTCCTTTCACTTCACCGACTTTACAAGCGCTTCATGAGCATTCGTCTTAATAGACTGGGGTATCCAACTGGAGGCCTCGATTCAACGAGGGATGAACATGCACGATGACTGGTTAATCTTCTGTAACATTATGACACACAAGTGTCCATGCTTGGCTGAACGGTTCTCCGTAATCTCAAGAAACCACAGTGTTTTCATACTCACCAGACTATAGTATCAGGTTCTACGTTCCATCCATGTATTACTAGCTCTTGAAATCGAAACTTTCCGTGCCTCCTTTTGGTAATCTTCAGTGGTGGCTTTGGCCATCCCCACTATTTTCTGTTCGTAGTGACCGCTTGTTTGGAAATCGAAGACTAGGTGCTATTCACTTGACTGATATGGGTACTTGGTCCTTTGTCTTCAAGGTTGTCTTAGAAGCAATTTGATTCACTTGAGTGAGTGCCGTTCTCATCTGTTTTCATACATTGCTGTTATCAGTGTTATTTCAAATGGCATCCTAGGAGTTTGTTTGTGAACATAATGCTTCTAGCTAACTAATTCTGGATCATGATCTTGTCATTTGGGTTTTCCTTTTTCCTCGTCAAATAGAACTATGTTTTTAACACAAGTTTCATATTTCCTTCACGACACAAAATCTAGGTTTGCTTATGGACTTGTCTGAACCTTTTTTTGTAAGAAGGTGTAGGATTCAAGCTTGTGCTTGTAGGGAGGAGCTATCGTACTTGAGCACATCGAACTGTATATCTAATTTAACTTTGATGTGGCTGAGTTCAGCCACTAGATATGCAGTCTTAAAAAATTCATATTAATCGGCTTCGACTGTAGAGGGAACAACTATTTGCTTGATAATATAGAATATAACAATAATTTCATTCCACTAAACGTAACATCGTAAGCATTAAATTAATCTGACTATCGCAACATGTACATCAATAATTTACTTTGAAATGTTCATGTGAGAAAACTGAACATCGTAGTTCAGACACAGTTTTAAAGAAAATGAATAATTATTTTTATCAATTTGAATGCTGTGGTTTTAAATGGTTTAAATTAATTTGCATTAAATATTGTGTTCAAATGCCATGAAAATAAGACCTACAATTGTTATTATATCGTAGATTTTCATGAAATATACATATCAGTATTTGATGTACATATTTATGTTGTATGAAGATATTTTACAATCAGTGGTTTTTGTATTTGATTATTTCACTTCATCAAACATATGTGACTCAAAAGATTTAAGATGTTCATATATCTGATTGAAGTACATGTAAAATGCATCCTAAAAAGTTATAAACTCATGCGAGAAACATGCACAAGTATATATAAACACAAAATATCGTGTATAAAATTAATAACTATACAAAAGTTTAACATATTACCCTTGAAGTACTCTAAATGTGTGCAGGTGAATATATGTACCAAGATTTGTGTATGCACATACTTTTTATTAAATATTTAAGGAAAAAAAAAAATCGAAACACAATTTGATATACAGATTATTTTTCACGTTTGCTTTGTTGGAGTAAAATTCCGTAGGAGTGGATTCTGGTGTGGAGCGAGATATGTGCTGATGACAACTGAGGGCGATCTCGTGTTGCAGGAGGAGTGCAGTGCTCGTGCAGTGGCGGTGCTGATCTCGAGTGTGGTACGATGACTACTAGCAAGGATCCAAGTTAGAATGGATGTTTAAGCAGGTTTGGGTTCTCCAGAACCGTTATTTGAAGACGTTTAGCTAATTCCTTAACTAAGTTTGCTCCAGGGCCTAAAAAGTGAAGTGAGTTGCATGTAGTTTAATGTAGTTTAAGGCATTGGGCGCCAAAAGTTTTGGCTGGAAATGGGTGAAGCCAATATTGGTAAAAATTGGAAGTGTGCAGAAATGTTTATATACGGTGGTGAATGGATGGAGACAAAAATGTGATAGAACAATTGTGACACTAGTATCCAATCTGATTTTGATGGTTATTCTTTAGGAGTTGGACAAGGCAAATGTGGTGAAGGGAATCATCATTTAGGAGATTTTAGGAGAAAGTGAGGCTTATACTTGTCCAAGTTGTTTGTGGGGATTCCCACCTGAAGCATGTGGTTATAAATTGCTTGCATGGTGGTGACAGGAGAGAGGAGGAATTATTCTTGTTTAACATGTTGGATATTTAGAGAAAGCTGATGAGATATTTACAAGACTGTGCATCCCTGAAACAATTAGTGTTTTGGAGCCTCCCGCCAAGAGATAAGGTATGTATTGCTTAGATTGAAGGTGGTTTTAGTTTTCAATTTCAATGTGAGTTATATTAATTTTTTGAGAGGAAGTTTTGGAGGGATATTAAAATGAAGGATATAGTATTGACAAAAGTTGAAAATAATTTGAATTATGTTAAACAGTATTTTTTTTAATGGAAATTCTAATCAAGCATACATATGTACTTGTAATGTGGTACACTTTGAATCTATTGATACAAACAATAGTAGATATGTTGTATTTTTTTTTTATCCTAATTGATGTAAAGATGGACTTCATAAATGTGTGTGAGAAATGTTTATTTAAACTAATAGTTGCATTATTAGCTGAAATATATATTTTAAAGTATTTTTATGGGAGTGATTCTAAAGATGAATTTATTAGCATTCTAGAGATTTTTCAAATGCTTATAGCCCCATTAACCTCTATTATAGATAATGAATACATTAAAATGAAGTTATTGAAAGTTTGGCAACTTTATATATCATTCAAGTATGATATTGGTTGAACACCTTCACATATGAAAGACAACTAAAGATGAGAGGGTATCCAATTTATTTGAAAAAAAAATTAAGCTTAAGAACTGCCTATCTTCCATTCTTTCTTTCTCTTTATATTAAAAATAATTAAAGATATAAGAATATCTAATTTATTTAGCAAAGTTGTGAAGCTTGAGCATCTAATTAAATCAGAAGTAGTCAAAGATATAAGATTTTCCAATTCATTTGGCAAAGATATGAAGCTTAAGCATCTACTTAAATCAAAGGTAGCCAAAGATGTGAAGTTCCTCAATTCATTTGGCAACGATGTCAAGCTTAAGTATCTTAATGTATTCAAGTTAATTGAAGATGTGACATTGCCAAATTTATTTGTCAATGATGTCAAGTTTTTCAATTCATTTGTATGAAAGATAGTTAAAGATGTAGATTCTCTAATTCATTTGACAATGATGTCAAGCTTGAATACTCTTTTATACCAAAGATAGTTAGAGATGTGAGATTGCTTCATTTATTTGGTAGTAATATTAATGTTGAATAATTTCTTATACTAAACATTGTTAAAGATGTAAGATTACATAATATATTTGATAATAATATTGAATTTAAAAATTATTTAATGAGTTTTTTTTTAATCAATAAATCTTAGCTAAATAAAGTTTGAATATATAAAGATAGATTTCTAAATAAGAAATAAGAAATAAATATAATCTAAAAAATTATTATTAAATTGAAAAATTATATATCCAATTAAAAATCTTTTGATTATATCAATTGGTATAAGTTATAATTTATTTTTTTAGTCTTTTAATAATAAGTAATATTTATCCAATAATTGGTCTTTACTAAACTCTTATCAATTGTTGGTATAAATTGGAGACTATGCTGATCATTAGACAATACAATTAACTTCAATATCATCTTCTTAATTCTATGTAGTCTTCTTGAGTAATCATTGAAAGCCAATTATAATAATATTAATATTTATTTCAAAAAAAAAGTTATTTCTTTCCTATAGATGTGATTCTTTTGATTTTTGATAATAAAAAATTTAATTTTTAACCAATAGAAAATAAATCATCCAACACTTACTTTAATTTAATCATACAATTTCAACATTTTTGCATGTGATAAACTTAAGTTGCAATAATACATCAATTAAATCTACCTTAATTTTGGTTTTGAAATAAGACTTATTTATTCTTTGATGGTGTTATGTAATAATATAGCCATTAGGTAAAAGAGGAAAGAATTTTTTTTACTATTGAAGTGCTTAAATGAAAATATTTTAGCAAATTATCCTAGAAATATAAATAATAGATAAGGAGGTAGTAAAAATTAGTAAGTACTATTGTTGCCTTCTTATAGAAGAGACATTTACTTACTTTATAGGAACATAAATGACCCAAATAAAAATAAATAAGATAAAAAATTAAAATATTTTTTTTAAGAAGGAATTAAAAATAAGTTTTAGTAAAGATTATTGTAATTGTCGTTTTACTTATTCTACAAATTCCTTTCAGAATAAATCTGTATAAGAGAATTTGAACACAGGAAAAGACTAAGCGCATGGGCTTTACTTGTTAGGGTCACACGATTAACTATATTCCGAACCACTAAAATACTAAGAAACACTACAATGCTTCCTTCTAGTAACAATACTCCTTCATCAAGTGATAACAATAGTGTGCAATCTTGCACTCTCAAAAGACTACTCAAAACTCATAAATTCCATCCAACATCAGGAATAACAGACTTCACTCCAACCAATCTGGATTCATAGAATTTCTGTAATCATAGACTTCCTTTGTCCAAAACACACACAACTCTCAATAAACAACAATCATAATCTTCCATCTATAATCAATCTTCTAATAACTTCTCATATAATTCAATTACATAATACTCCAATTACATAATCAATAACTCATAAATCAATCTCTGATTTATTCTACAGACTCACTTCTCAGTATTCAAAAACTATCCATTATTCTTCAACAACAAAGACAACAAAGAAACAAAGAGGTAGCACCAAGCTTAATCCCGACTCATGACTATCACAGTCTGGCATCCCAATAAACTTCTACAACTCCTATATAATTGCTACTGATTTCCAAATCCTAACCATAATCCTATAATAACCGCTTTTAATAATTAAATCAACCATCTATCTTCTTGAACTGACTATTCTATAGACTATTAATCTATTTTACTAATATCTTATAAAAATAAACTAATATCTATTCTATAATTACCTCTAAATATCAAGAATTGATACTTAGAGAAGACTGGTTGTAAATCAAGATTTAAATCAGATCGTAAGATACAAAACCAAGGACCTATGGTGACTTCACAATTCTTTGGTCAATCTGAAAATGGAATTTGATAAGAGACTTGAGAGAGAGATTTTTTGAGTATTGATTTTTAGTAATTTGAGTTGTAACAACTTTATAAAGACTTTGCAAATTTAAGACGGTTTTTAAGTAACTTTTGATTTTGAAAAATTCAAAAAGTTTGTACTTTCAATAATTGCATGAGATTTATAGTTGTTTTATAGGTGAAATTTTGTGACTAAGTAATCATTTTTGTACACAATTTGTGTTATAAGTTTAAGATGGATCTAACAATTTATTCAAAGTTTATTGAAGCTCAAACCTATTGAGGTCTCAAGGATTGGGGTATAAAGAACTAATGAGGGATTCTAACATGTCCATGAATATGCT